CACACAACAGAACAGACATGGAAAGTAAAGTCTGGAGAGTATGATGAAGAAGAAAGTTGAAATGTCTGGACAATGAGAATAGGTCTCCAAAGAGCACCACTGACAGTCAGATAGACTACTACAAGCAATGAGAAAAACAAAGCTGGGATGGGGAAGAGAGATGAGGAGAGGATATGGAAGAGCATGCCTTATTTACTTCATCCAAACCAACAGCAGCAAGATAGAATGTAGACTAGAGAGGGGCTCACAGCATGGTATACCAAAAGAAAATGCAAAACATGCCATCCCAAAGAAAACCAAACAGAAACAAATACATTCAGTAACGTTTTCATAAGTGAGCTTAATAAATGTCATTAAAATGAATGTGACACATAGTACAAACTATCCATGGCACTTTCACTGGAACAGTACAATAGTTTTAATGAGTACTGTATTATGAATAACTGGGCTCAAAACAGGACCAGCAATGCAAAGAATCACATATTTGGTTGTTGTTAATGGAAGGTGAGACTACAAGAGAACATGAACTACTGGTATTGTAAGACGCGTTTTGAAGGAAGACTCTGGGGAAAGAAGGACATCAATGAAAGTGTGAATATGGAGACAATATGGCAGTGCAAGGGCTGGTAAAGACGAAATATACATCGTCACGATACAGTACAAATGAAAAAAGAGGAGGGGAGATGTTAACAATAAAGTCTGCTTTTCCGATGCAACAATCTGAAACACCAATGACTCCACAAGAGGGGAAAAAAAAAAAAAAAGGCCTAAAAGAATTATACTGTTTTATTTTGTACTTCCTGCAAAGAAGTTAGTGCGTGAGTCACAAGAACCAATTGAGAGACAAAATGCTATTCTCTCTCCTCTTTGAGATTGGGGGCTCATATATAAATATACACACAAATATATATATATATACACACACATAGACAGATGAATATATATATATGTATATATGTGTGTGTATATACAGAGAAAGATAGACAAAGATGTTATCTTCCTGTGTTCTTGGCAAGGAATTAGTCCTGAAGTTAGAAGGAGTGGAGGTAGGATTGAGGTTGGAAGGAAAGGTAACGAAGAGGGCATACCGCTTTCGGCTTCTGCAAACGACAAGAAAAAAATTGCAAATCAAACACTTTGATAAGAAACCAACTGACACCAAAGCAAAAGCAAAAAAACCCTTTATTTAGAAGTCTTCAAGGCTCAAAGGTTTTTCTGCTGAGAATGAGAACAAGTATATGGATAGACAAAGAGAAAATTTAACAAGAGGAGTAAACACAGGGTGCAGGAGGGAAGAATCCTGGTTCGGCTTTCCTTCTTGCTTACTCACGTGGAAAAAAGAAAAAACATAAGGGGAAAAAGGAAGGCAAAAGTATCTCTAAAAAGGGATTTCAGATGAGGAGTTTGAATGTCTGCATTTTGAACTGATACTTTTTGCTATCTATTCAGCAAGCTCTGCTGGGACATTTTCAGGTTGATGTTCTCCATGTTCCTTTAGCATTTTTTCTACAGAAGAAAAAAAACCTCTCTACAAATGCACTAAGGAAGACCATTTTTTAAGCTAAAATATTGGACTTGCATCAAGGACACAAAAACTTATTTAAGAACTACTTCCTGCTCTTAATAACTGATTATAATACTACCCGATACTAATTAAAGATGAAGGAATGGCTGACTCATATTGTGACCTGGAACTACTGAAGTGCAGACCTTAGGAGACAGCCAGAAACCCACTAAATTCAGTCACATTTTGTAAACTCAGAGGTTTGTTTGATAACTGAGCAGTAATTTAAACATTATTAAATAAATACATGTAAAGGTAAAAAAAAGATTTAATCATGACTATTTTAATTAATCTTTAAGAAACCCTGGTGAGAAACAGCTGCATAAAAAGATAAACATTCTATAGCTACTTAACCCATTATTTGAAAATAAGTTTGTATTTATTGTACATATAACTATATTACCTATATTTAGGCTTGAAAACTATTAAATTCTGCTTTTAAGCAATCTTGTAAAATCATAAATTAACAATCTAATACTGTCAAAACTTGTTATTAAGGTGTGCTTACTGTTTTGTGTAGCTTTATTAGGAGTCAGGCAGAAAGGAGAAAAAACCCAACTGCAAGCAGGAAGCTCAGCTACTGCTAACATGTACGTTAATATTAGCTTGGATAGAGTTCTGATGATTTATAATTACTATTCATCTCAAATTCCCTATGGTAAAGTTAAGACTATCAGAAAGCTTTCGAAAAATGACATATAGGAGACTGCCTGGGGGGAAAAAATGGTGCATAGGTAAATGAGTATTTATGATATTCTACATGTAATGAAGACATTAAAGTCAATGAAAATTCTGCCACTGACTTAAAATGGTACTAGGATTTATCCTTAACACTGAGGTGAAAATTTAGAGAGGGAATTAGGAAATCTAGAATGCTCCACATTACCACTTTTGAGAGCTGCACGCATTTCTGAAATGACATTGCGTTGCTTTAGCTCTGAGAGCAACCTAATGAAGGCAGACAAAACCAATCTTAACAGCAAACTCACTGTCTAAGAAAGAAATCAATTATATAATTTACTTATATAGATATTCTATTATGACTGGTAACAAAAATTGAACTCGTGGGAGTAAGTTCTTCTCATCCCTTAGGCAGAAAGAGTGCTTTGAAAATTTCCTCTGCTGCTGAAAATACTGGTCCTAGACCTGTCCCAGCTATAGCTGGAAATACTAGCTCTTAATAAAAGGGTGCCACCTAGATAATATGCTAAATTTTATTTATATTTCTCATTCTTGCTCTAAATTGTAAACTACGTAAAACCTCTCAAGAATTTTACAAAGTATGAATCTAAACTATAATCATAAAATAAACCAGCACATATCTACTCTTAGTCACTCTCATAAAGAGTGAAAGCTAAAAGGGTACCATAATCAGTTCCCCCTTCACCTTTATGAAGAATTACCAATGAAGAACTTAAGATATGAAGTAGAATAAAATATTTCCAAAGTCAACATCACAAACATAATTGGCAAAAGACAAATTTATCTTGTTCAAAGACAGCTTGCACTTGTAAACCACGTTATTCGAATTTTTATCTTAATTCCCCACCTTTTCGTTTAATAAGATGCAAGGAAATGCAAGTATATCTAAGAAGTGAGGAACTGAAGTTTTGTTTCATTACCTTTTATGTTAGACTAAAAGGCTCCAGCTCAGAAAATCACAACTATGTTCTTAAAATATTTGAGTTGAAGAGCACAGGAACAAGTAGAACAGTAAAGATATGCTACAAGTAGCTCTGTGATTCACCAAACAGTGACAATAAAATTATCATTGGTTAATAAAGTCAGCAGATATTACTGTGGATCAGGATTATAAGAAAATGTGAATACCTAGCTTACATGCTCTCCTCTTGTTACATATATGTTGAAAAAATTCAGTTGTTAACATCCCTTTTTTGGTATTGTTTCCTGCAATTTTCAGCCTCTTTTTTACCAAATTAATTAATTGTGAACTGTTACCTGTGTGGCTTTAAGTAAGAAGGAATATATGATTGTATCACATTGTGTTATTTTTTGTGGGATCCTCTGCATCACCTTGTGATTAAGAACTCAATCCAACTCCCACTGAAGTTAGTGCAAAGAATGATATGGAAGCCATGAATTATCTGTTATTACTGAAAAAGACTGTAATATTAGCACTGATGTAAGTAAATGACAACTAACGTAATGACAACCTAAAGTTGGGCAATAATTCTTAGGAGAACCAACAGAAAACAAATGTTTTCTAATATTGGAAATACAAAATCTGGTGAATAGTTCCACTGCTGTTACTATCATATTTTTCTTTTTTTTTTGGAAGAGATTAAACTGTTCAGAGACAACAGAATAATAAATCATTTGCTTTACATTAGCTCATGTGGAACGAGATCATTCAATGGAAAAGTATTTTAAGAGCTCATTGGGGCTGGAAACATTAAAAAAAATCTGATATTTCAAAAGAAAAAATATTTCTTAATCAGCATAGTGTGGACAAAACTAATATCAAATAGCACATACACCACTTCACATATCACTTTATAACATAGGAAAGAATCAAGCAAAATCAACTATAGGGCATGGAAATAAAGAAAAATGACAACATACAATAATAAACATTGAAATAAACTTTTAAGACCTCAGAAATCGTGGCATGAGCTCAAATGACAAAACTTTTTCCAGAATATAAATTTTGACAGAGGAAAATAAAATTCAGCTTAGAGTCAGTATTGTCATATAGCACTGATGGACAAGTTGATAGAAGATTCACTCCAAGGTTCACTTGGATTTTTAGGAATTTTTGTACAAAAAACACACAAGAAACACTTCTTTTTCTGTCCGTGAATCTGTACTAGTACTAATGATTTTTCTTCTCTTTGGTTAAGGACAGGAGTCAGCCAGTTGGTAATTTCAAGGCTAAATTAATCTTTTCCAGTTTCATGATGTTATTCATATAGGCAAGTTTTGTCAGAGCAGATACTATATAAATACTACATTTATCCTATATTTCTATTTATTCTGTATCCTATCTAAATTGGTTCTTCCAAACTCATTCAAATGAAATTATTATTTTGAGAATACACATAGCTATAATGAGTTTTGATATCACTTCTCTTTTCCACTTTTCCATTTTCAGTAACATAATTAAAACTGATAGACTATGAACCTTGTAAGTTTTTGTTTAAGTAAAAATGAATTGCACTTCTAGAGATGGGACACGTGTATCACTGCCCCCCGCCTCCCCCAAATAAATTCTGACTCAAAGTAGCTTTAGAGAAGAATAGGGCAGAAATAAAAGCCTTCCAGCGCTATGTGAAATGGTGTAATGTGATGGCATGCTAATTATACTCTGAAATGTTTCAAAAAATATAATAGCAGCTATGTTAATTCTGGAAAAAAAAGCAGGCAGAATTCTTGACAGTGCATTCCAGAACTTCAACATTTGTAGGCATGGACATACCTGCTTTCTCGTTTTTCCGACTTGTATTCTATGGCTATCATTAAGAGCTTTAGTTTCGCAAACACCAGTCTGCAGAAAGAGAAGAGGCCAAGAGTTAGTCCTTTTTCACAACTAACTTTACATATGTAGAGATGGCTGCAGGGTATGTATTTTCTTACACTAAAGGATTTTACACTGCGATCTTTTCCCATTTCTTCAGTTAGGTACACACAGAATAGATATTAAGGTCTTTATTTTGAAGATAATGAACACATATTTTCCTAAAAATACAAACTGACAAGTTGAGAACAGTAGCATAAGCACCAACACTATGTTACTAAGTCTACTTAAGCGATAATAACAAAGATCATGATACACAATGTAAAAATGCATTTGACAATTCGAGGAAATTTTTCAAATCTTTGCTGCAATTCAGCTGTATGTTGATTGTAGTGTGCATTCCTTAGAAAATATATATGTACTGAACTAAAATGAGTGTACACTATTAATAAGACAATATTTGCCAACTACTGTCACAGAGGAACAGCACGACTGGAAGCAATTTCTGACCAGTATGTGGGAAGTACATTCTGATACTGCAATTACACTTTTTTTTTTTTTTTCCAGTTGTAAAAGTCTGTACAAGTGGCTATTTATTAAAACAAGTCAAGGGTGATATTCATAGACTTGCAGAACTGAGAGTTAGGACAACACCATTTGCTTCAAGCTAATAAGCTCTCCAAGAAGAAACAAGAAACCACCCACTTTTTAAAAATAACTAGAAACCATTTCCAAGTCTGCCACTGAAGTGTCTGCAAATTCAATGCTACTTGCTTCCTGTTCTATAAATTTGTCACTAACTACTCTAGCACTCACCTTTCAATTAGATGAATGCCACCTTCCATATCATACACTAACTTTTGCAGTGCTCAGTGCTTCTCCACAAACTTCCTTACTTCAGTGTTATTTATACTTTTGCATATATTTTGACAATATTTATTTTCTTATTTTTCTTTATTTCTATAAGCAAATCTAAGCAATATTCTGCATACTTTTCATCAGTCACATACTTAGCAGAAAACAAGTAGTTGTCTACTGAACTGATAATGTTACATTTCTGTAATAAGTTTTTGAAATCACTGTGAACAGTTAATTTCTGCCATTTCTTCAGGATAAGAGAATAATTACAGATTAGCATGGATGTAGAGATTCTGACAATACTAAGGCAATGTGCTGCAGAATACATAAAACAGAATTTACTTTGCATTGCTTAAGTTTTACAATACTTGAGCATATTTTTTCTTAAAAAAAAAATATTTTAAAGGATTGTAAAAGTATCTCTGTAGTCTCCTTGTCTGGGGAGGCAGGTGATATTTCAGTATTTGGAAGTGGCACAGAAAGACAGATAGGGGCAAGATTCTTTTCAAAAACAATTAAAACTCATATTCTACTCCTAGAACTCCAGCCAATGGCAGAAATGGGCAGACAAAATCCTGATAGTAACTGAATTCTTGATTAGCTCATCACCTCCCACAATATTAACAGAATAATGAAGCCTATCAGCTTCTAAAAAAGAAAAATAAAATTAAAAAAATCAGTTTTCAAACATATTAATGCTGGAGTACCCTACCTGTTGTACAAAGAGTGTTATATATCTGTTCTAAAAATGATGATATAATAAAATACAACTTCATGAGCCACGGATGTCAAGAGTTCTAAATCTATTTTTTTTATATTTTGACCACCTATATTCCTTTAAGAAACACAGTTAACTTATCTTCCTTGGTTTCCTAGTATTTGGTAATCTATCCATTTATGTATCTTGCTAAAAAGAAAAAAAACCCAAACCAACCCACCATAAAGAGATAAGCACCACGCTACCCTAATATTTGGCATCGGTATCTCATTCTTGTCTATAGATTTATTAAAAATATTTAAGTGGTAAAATAAATAGGCCTACTTGCACTTGGCCATGCGATTAAACATTAGGATTAATAAGTCTCACCATTTAACTGTATTGTGCAAATGTAGTTTGATATGATAAAATGAGAAAGATCTTATACCTGCTTTTTTCCCCCTAGATACATAAAGAACTTTGTAATAAGAAGTTAGAACAGTTTTTATCTCAAATTATTATGTAGAAGTCCACAAAAATTGTCAATGACAGTTCATGAGGCATTAATTTCTATTTTATTCTCAACTGTCAGCATCATCTGCTAACTACTAATGAACACAGATGGTCATGAACAAAGGCTCTTAAGAATCTGAATCTGACTGTTTCTATCTACCCAGAGAGAAATAAATTGCTTTTGACATTATATCTTCCTTCTTTACTGGTAAAAGTATCATTGGCATAAATTAACCATAGATACCTGCTGTATTATTTGCATGTGAAAGTACTGGGATATTCAGAATTTAAATAAATTATCATTCTCCTTTCTGAGCAGCAAAACATGAAGACATAACCTTGATTAGTTCTTAATTTTAAAATTTTGTACCAAACATTAAAAAAAGGATTTTAATTAGAAAATCTACTGGAAGGAAGTTTTTTCTTTTCAAATAAATTTTTGATCAAAATCTTGTACAGCATAAATAATTCAGATTTTTTTCCTCATGGTCAGTTATAACATTTTTTGCTGAATTAGTTTTGACAAACGCATAGGTACTCCCCTCAGGAGAGAAAAATCTACTTCTATAACTTGCTTCAGCTGCAGTTAGCAAAAGTATTTTGATAAAAAAATTAGTATCTTATGTAGCATTTTAAGCTGAGCAAATTACGTAAAGTATCAGAATTCTTTCACAAATGGATGGGGCTTTAAGCAACCTGGTCTAGTGGGAGGTGTCCCAGCCCACAGCAGGGGGTTTGGAACCAGATGATCTTTAAGGTCCCTTCCAACTCTATTCTATGACTCTGAAATTTTATGAGATTGAGTTGTAAACAATTAACATAAGTTAAAATAATAAAAAAACCACACTGAAGAGAGCCAAGGTTTCCATAAATCAATCAAAAAAGTTGAAGTACTCCTTAAATCTAGCACAGTGAAAAAAGACCTCCAAGACTTGAACACTACTAGGATAACAAGGAATTGATGGTAGCAGCAAAAGTAGACATCCAGAGGGAGTACAAAATACCAAGTATACATTTTAATGCAAATGCATTATCAAGAATATGGGTGAATCTTGATAAAGGATCAGGCTCTTTTCTGGTGGGTTCATGAATCGTTATATAAACAATATAATAGAGTAGGTAGAGAGTGACTTACGTCACTCATGAGAACATGACATACATCACTCATAATGACATCTATTACTTGATATACACACAGAAGCACATCATACAAATAAACTACTTGTAGCAGCTACAGTCAGTGGCTGCTGACGAAACCAAGAGCAGGAGAGCAAATAAATCTGCTTCTCACAGTAGTGGATACTACTACCATTACTGGGATGGTGGTGATAACGTGAGCTGAATATTTAATAGTTTTTGGTTGCTGATCTGTCAGTCTGTTATGAAAATACTGAATGTAAGAAATGTCAATATAGAACACTACATGGATTTTTCTCTGTATTTCCCACATTGAGTATTATCTTGGTTTATGAGTTGGTTCCTGATTGGAAATGCAATGGAAGCGCTGTGAAGTATTGTGGAAAACATCCTACTCCAATCCACACTTAGCTAAAGAGTTTCATAAATATTTGTCTTTCGTTACTTTTATGTACTCTTATTCCGCTAAACAAAACCATCATTCCACTGTTCTTTCTGGATCCCGTTAAAACTGACCACGTTGGCGTAAGAAAACTAAGTAAGTATATTGTTCCTATAAGAGCTCTAGTGAAGGCCTTACGCACAAAGAAGCCAAGATTGCTTATAAAAATGGGTATTGTTAGTTTTCTAGGTATGAACAGGAAACATGGCTGCCACATATACAAAGTTTTGAAAACTTGTCCAGTAATTTCTAACCCCCTAACTATTGCTCGTACCAAGCACAGTAAAATCCAGGGTATCCAAAAACCATGGTGGAAGCATTGGTAACAGTAACATAGGCCTCCATACTTTAAAGGCATTAAAGAAGAAAAAACTGTGGGAAGCTGTAAGGCCTGTGCTGATCTATGGACACTCTTCTGTTGAAGCAGCCTTTTCATACTTGTGAAAACGTTGCTGTCCACTGAGATGAAATTAGGGAGCACAGTGGGATTTTACAACACCTGTTTTGATGTGTTTGCTCTTGCTCTCTCACAGGTGTGCCTGAGGAGACTCTTTAGCAGGTACGCATCGGCTCGGTGGAGGCAGTGCGGATGGCCTAGCTTTTGCTGGGGGACCCAGAGGAGAGTTGCTGAGTGGAAAGTGTAAAAAATAGGAAAAGTCTCTGGCAGAATCAGATGGAGACTGATTTTAATCACAGTCAGAAGAGGGAAAGCTTCATTTAGAGTCATTGTCAGTCCAGAGGCTGGCTTGTGGCTTGGCCACTTCCTGAGCTGACCTTAGGTTTGTTGAGTCTGAAATTTGACACACATCTGCAATGTTGAATAAAATGCTGGGTTCAGGAAAAAGCTCCTAGTTTAACAGGTATAGACTGATCCAGCGTCACTGCTTCAGAGAGGCAGAAAACCTTACTGGTCATATTATGTGCGGCTTAAGACTTAAGAGTTCAAAAGTGCCTAAGATTTACCTCACCTGCTGAGACAAGTCAGAAATCTAGTTGAAGAGAATGATCCAAAGACAGAAGCAAGAACTTGACAGTTACAGGTAGTGCATGCTGTCCTTGTGCTGTGAAAGATCAGCTTAATTTGGAGTCACTCTCAGACTAGGAAGAGCTACTACTCTGAATATATGCAGAAAAGAAATAATCTGTTGTGGAGCTGAGAGAGAATGCAGACAACTGCTGAGTGTTGCCTACTTGCCTAACTAGTTCTCCTTTGTCAGGACTGAAGTTTCTAAGACTTCTATGATTAGCTCACCAAATGGTCTGTTATAAAAACATACAAAAAATGTCATGACTAATGTGTGAATATATACGCTAGTTATAAACCATGTAACAATAGCTGCACAAATACAGAGATAATAACATCTCTATAATTTTGCCTTTTACTAAAACATGGCTATAACATTTGATTGAATGAGTGACCTCAAAAATAGAACCAACATCAAATGGGCCCAATTTAACATATATTAAAAGAAAATGACACCTTTCATATGCTGTTTCCACTGCCAGATCAAGAGTGAATCCATAGACATGCTAGCTTCACTAGGAAAATTTTTGGGTGGAGAATTGTGGGCCTAGAACCTGGGTGAAGGTTAGTCTTGCATTAGTGAATATTAGGAAGCCCACTAGAAGACTCTGAGCTAGTTGGGGACAGTTTAGTTAGTTTACCCTTTAATCAGCATCATCCACACCTGGTCCAACAATATCCAAGGGCACGGAATAATAGGAATTACATTCACATATCAAAAACATATTAGTGGGAATACGTTCACACAGCCCACATACATATACTCAGAATTATAAATAAAACTTGCAGACTGATATTAACTTCTAATTCCATCTAATTCTTCACCCTGGTATTGACGTAAAATGCTTGAAATTCTTCAACAATATTGAGTATCCCATCCCCACTGAAAGAGGAAATGTTTCTGCACTCTGTTTGTTACCTAAACTGTAATGCAGCCTGTTTACCAAAGAATCACATTCCCAGACCAGCAATCAAGACCAATAACCTGATGAAGCAGCACATCTCATTTAGTTTCAGGGGTTTAAAATGTCATTGACTGTATGAATTTTAAAAGCTGTATTACAAATACTATTCTCAAAGTTTGTATATTTTGTGGTATGTTGATCACGCTAAGCCCATCCACTAATTTTATTTCCCTCTCGCAAACCAATGCAATGGACTTCTTGCTGTCCTTCATTCTTCTGGAAATTGAATAGCCAATTCTTAGGGTAATGAAAATACCTATGCACCAAACTCATAAATATGTAAAAACTACATTTTAATTTTCAATGTGCTTTAATTAACCTGAGATTAATAGAGTTATTAAACTGTTGGAAAATTTGAGATAAATATTTTTCTTTAATTTAAACTAGGAGATGCAGTTAGTTAAGCCTCCGGACAATCAAATGCTTGAGGAGAGCTCCAAAGTTTAGACATGTTTCTAAATTTCAACACATGCCCTTTCTTTATTGATTATTTTATCTCAGTTCCACCAGCACAGTTAAATAAATGTCAGCTTTATGTCAAATACAGTCTCAGTAACATGTTTCTAAGAACTTGTATAGAAACTCAACTATGTTTGACAATGGTTTGGCATGGAGATTTAATTTTCATGATTGTAGTTAGTGTAAACAGCACAAATTACCATTCATTCTGAATATAATACAAATTTCTACAATACCTTATGAGATTTGCTGTTTCAATATATCCAGACAAAGTTTTGTGCTTGTAGTAATAAACATTTTCCCTCAATAACCTAGTTACAGTCTGGTTAACACAGTAGAGCGATTCATTGTGAGTCCCTTCATTTTACTAGCAAATTGAAGACTAGGCTCTGTCATAGCTACATCCCAGAAAAAGACAGATTTTTAAATGGATAACATTTGTCTAAGAACAGTTGTTTCTCCCTCATTCTTATGCCATAACCTGTTTATGATTCTATCATAAAAATCTGAAAAGGCGGGAGAAGTGAGAGGAGCTAAAGCAAAATCATTCTTCTTTATGTAACAGATGATATCTTACTTATTCTTATATTTCCTCCTCTAAGAACAGAGCCTTCAGAAGTTTTTCTATGCTATCTAGTTAGACTTCAAACTCTTCAGAGAGGGTCAATTTCTTTTTAAGCATATGAACAGTGCCTACCAAAAGCTGTCCACAATCTTCTTTGTGACCTTCTGGTACAGCTGTAATGAAGAACAATGCCAACAGAAAAGGAAATATCACTATGCTAAACTATCCTGACTATGTTTATGGCCACAGAATTTATCAAAGAAACCTTGTGCATACAAATCTCTCATCCACAGAATCATTCTTGGACAAATATAAGGATTTTCAGTCTCCAGAAATAAAGTTGTAGCATGGCTTATGCTATGGTTACGTACTATATGCTTCAAATACTCCTTTCTCATTACAGAATCGACATTTTTTTCTGACATATTTCACTTTTTAAAAGTGGTTTGTAACCAGTTCCACAGAGCTCTGGATGGCACACTGATTATATGACTCCACTCCATCTGTTTCAATTAATGAATAGGTTCCTTGGAATGGGACACAAGCCAAGATGGTGATGCTGACAACCACTATGCAAAGAATGGGAATCATTAGAAGAAACAATAGGACAGCACTTACAAGTAAATAACCCTATTTAAATAGATTGCTGATGAATTTGTTCAACGCTGAAAACATTTATGCTTTCATTTACAATCACTTAATTCCAAATCTTTCCTGAAAACAGACATTACAATGTTTGAAATACTTGTATGCAGTGATTGCTTTAATGTTTGTTTTATTGGATCCCATCAGATGTAGCAATGTTAGGACTGTAGCAAAGTGAAAAGGTCTCCTGCAGAAACCCTAAATTTCACTTGAGAGAAGGCAAATACTTATGTATATTAATATGTATTTGTACTTACTCACAAACTGCAGGGAAGGACAAACCCACAAAGGCACTAGACAGATATTCTGTATACATTTCATTTGCAACACCTTCCAGGTAGTATTTCTGCCACGTATCCTCCTCAATCTAAAACAAAGAAACACAGATGTTGAGTTCTGAGTAAAACGAAAAGTTTTCTTTAAAATTTACAAACAAGTGCTTAAACATGAATTAGATTTTAACAAAAAAGTCAGTAGACTGTTAAGGCAATTAATGTTGCTTATTTGTACAGGATTTCCTGGAATGCCAAAAAAAAAAAAAGAGTCCATATAGTCAGTAAATCAAGTATCCTATGTAAAAATAATACTCTCAATTCTTGGCAAGCACATTCTGCACAAGACGAAATAAGGTTGTAGAGAGCTTGAGGAAAACGGTTGCTTAATTTCTCTTTCTGAAAATTCTCAAGTGAAATGGTTGTATTATATTGTTACTAAAGTCTCTCCAACATTTCAATTATTTTCACCTTGTCTAGAAGTTGATCAGCACTTGAAACTCATGGTACTTTTTTTTTTTTTTTCTCTTCTCTGCCATCATGACTGACAAGGAAATATGAGAAACACCCTGAAACAGTTTCTTCAATGGTTGTCAGTGCTTTAGGACAACAACAAAAAAGTCAGTAGACTGTTAAGGCAATTAATGTTGCTTATTTGTACAGGATTTCCTGGAATGCCAAAAAAAAAAAAGAGTCCATATAGTCAGTAAATCAAGTATCCTATGTAAAAATAATACTCTCAATTCTTGGCAAGCACATTCTGCACAAGACGAAATAAGGTTGTAGAGAGCTTGAGGAAAACGGTTGCTTAATTTCTCTTTCTGAAAATTCTCAAGTGAAATGTTTGTATTATATTGTTACTAAAGTCTCTCCAACATTTCAATTATTTTCACCTTGTCTAGAAGTTGATCAGCACTTGAAACTCATGGTACTTTTTTTTTTTTTTTTCTCTTCTCTGCATCTATGACTGACAAGGAAATATGAGAAACACCCTGAAACAGTTTCTTCAATGGTTGTCAGTGCTTTAGGACAACAACTGGAGAAAAACTTTACTGCTAAATTCAGAGATTTTTTACTGTCAAAGGTATGAAGGAAAACAAGTCAGAGGTCCTACAGGACTACCACCAAAAGCTCAATATATTTGCCTAAACAGAAGTTTCTAGTGATATTTGAGATGTGCATCCAATCCCAACTAGCTTCCAGTTGCTGCCCTGGGGTCTGTGCATGTCATGTCATATCTATAAAGCTTATGTCTCAGACACTCTATCAGGTATTTCAATTAGCAACAAACACCTATAATTAAGGTAACTGTATTGAGCTGCTAAGTATCCATAGGACTACAATTCAGAAGAGCAAATACAAAGCCAGCTTTGATATGACTGGAAATATGGCATATGCAGAAACTGTTCACTGTTGAAATCCCAAGTTGTCTATAATGTAGTTTATGCCCTCATGCAAAGTTTGTTTGAGATTTGACTATCATTCCCAATGAGACCTTCCTAGGGAAACCCCCACAAACATGCAGCCTGAAACACCTAAAATACATCATACTGTTGCTTCCCTATTTATTACATCACATTAAAACACAGCAAAAATTTTAGCTACAACGGGACATTCCTGCATGTAATAATCTCATTGGCTTTATTCCCTAACTGTGCAAACAGATAAATTAATATTTGCAAGAATTACACACAGCAACAAAAACGTACGTATGATAATCCAGTATACATAAAATTAGCAAGAAACATGTCAATTACATCAGAGTAGCAAAAAATAATATGATACGTTTCTATTTTTTACATTTCATTAACCAGAGTCTATCTGAGTAGATAGCAAATAGGAAATAACTAAAAAGAGAGAGATTGAGAGATCAGAGATTTTAATTTTCTTAAATAAGGCACATGATTTTACAGATCATGGAAATATTTATCTTGCAATTTAGTTAATGTTAAGCTATATTTTATTCTTTGCAAAAAAATAAAGAAACTCTTAGTTCCACTGTTGAGGTAGCCCCATTATGGTCTTCATCTTCCAGAGCAGAAAGTGAGACAGTATTGAGTTTAGATGTGAAGGCCAAAAAATTGACATAATGAGAAAATATTTTTTTAAAAAACTATTGGTAGACATTTGAAAAGCTACCTGAAAGGTCGAAGTACCAAATACCAACTGATTTGAGAAGGACTTGGATAACTATACATCTCTTAAACATTTCACAATTTGTCTGATATCCCCAGCTTTTCTAGAAGCTCAGTCCACCTTGTGTAAAGAGATGACAATACTAATCTCACAACAAACAGAGCTGTAGCCAGGCCCAATGAAGTGGCAAAAAGGATGCTTCAGGAATATCCGTCCTCATAAATTACTGGAGGTAAGGCTCAAGCTCTTTAACCCATGCTGCTGATCTTACTTGCCCCAGACACAGTGTAACAGCAACCAGCTGCGTATGAGCCAGATATTTTTTTTTAACATTATATAGAGAACTCTCAACATTTCAGAAATTCTTATCAAAGAATTCAGTCCAGTAAGATAAACAACTTATTACTGCTTTAAATTTTTGTGCAGCTACATTACTGCCCACTACGCCAAATGCCTTGGATAATATCCAGTCAATTATTTTAATGGTATGAAATGCCTTACGGCAGCAAAACATAGGCCTGTATATTCTTTATGGTAAAAGCATTATGGTATGTTAGGAGATGTGTGGGGTTATAAACATATATTCCAAACAGCAATATAAATGTACATCTCTGTCAGTATTCAAGAAAAGATATTAATACATGAGATGTAAGTGACTTGGTAAGGGTGTCCAAATTAATTTTTCAGATATTCAGCAATAAATCAAATTGAGAAAAGCATCTTTTAGCAACAATTTATCTTTGTCTGTTGTGTCAAACTAAAGCAAGAGGTTCTTGCACAACATACAGGGATTAAAAAAAATCTCACCATGTAAATTCAAAAAAGGATAAAAATTTAAGATGGAAAAAATTAAAGCACATACTCTAATCATCAGACATTTCAGGTCTGTGACCCAAAACATACTCTATGCATTTATAATGTATCCAGCAACTGGCTTTCTGCCTTTTAAATTTAAAAACGAACTCAGGGCTACATGGATATCATTCAAGACTTTTTTCTGGATATTAATTCCATTTTTCCTTTAACTGGTTTGTTTATATTGCTGTTTCATTAGTTGTACTTCTTATTGTTCTACTCTAAATTAGGCTTCTAAACAAGGTACAATCAGATGAAAACATTAAGTGTTTAACAAAACTTTTAAGCTAAGTAATTGATATTTTTTAATTTTAAATTAAACCTGTGGGTACTTTTAAAATCTTATCTGCTTTAGGAAATAAAATTATATGAGCAAAAGCTGTAAAAATAAACTACATTTTGAAAACAAAAGCTACAATGGATACAGAGTTCTATTAATTCCCCAAAAGTCTAAAACAGATTTTTCTTGCTCTTTATTATACATTTTTATTAAACACTTAATATTTCCTAAAAGTTTTAAGTTATAGTTCTGGATTCCATATTCTTACGCCAGTTCCAAATCATGAAGCTCACAAAACCCCATAAAATGAGAATTCTGTAGGAATGCAGTGACGTTCCTTTTCCTACTCCCTGTTTTTCTCTTTTGGAGAGCTGTCTTCACCCCCACTTCCCCTGTTAGCAGTTCCATAAATCTCTGCCTCTTTCTTTCTCTTCTCTACCATATCATCACCTAATATTACCCGCAATACCAACAGAACTCTTTCTCTAGGCTAATGTCCTGTATATCTTGCTTTCTATTTCCCTCTTAACTCCTTTATCCAAATGGAAATGTCAGCCTGCCTACCTGACATGTACCAGAGATGTATAGCCACCAACTGACAGTGCTTTCACCAATAGAATTCTTTATCTTACTTCCCCATCAGCGGTGTTTCCACCTCCTCTTTCAACCTCCTCTTTTAGGCTCATAATGTGGCTGTTTTCTTTGCCTGCTTCAACCCAGTCACTTATTCTATACTTAAATCATACAGACCTCTTGTCTTCCCACTAATCAGGATGATCGGTGAAAAAATGTCTAAATCACGTTAGAAAAAAAAATCACCTTTAAAAGCTTTAAGAGACAGCAAGACCAATTCCATGTCAAACTAGCATTTTATGGACAGCCAGTACCAAAACAGTGAGGGATGCAGTACTGTGTCATACATACTAAGCTCAGTAAGCAAAACCAGGATTATATTATTCTTTACCAGGAAATAAAGCAACAGCCACATTAAAAGGCTTCAGAAAGGGAATTACAGTTGAGCCTTTATGGTTGCAGAGCTACAACTCTGCTAACTGTCAAACTTAAAGAAGCATTTTCATACCATGTCCACACCTGGCTTGTATTGAAATGCTGTAATAACAATGCTGAGCTTTTCAAACTCTTGTAAAACTTAAAAGCACCTCTTCCCTGTAATAGCCTGATCCACAGCTCATTTAAACCACTCGAACCTTCTCTACCAATTCTGACATGCTTAGGATCGTTGTCTGAACAGCACAAAGCAGAAACAAGTGTGCTTTGACATAATGATTTAAGTTAGGAAAAATACATCAAAATAAATTTCAGATTATATAATTATTATAACATTATATTATTACATAAAATATTGTATGTAATACAACATTATTAAATATTAAAATTATTTTTATATTATTATATATCATAATATAACTTTGATTGGAATTTGGTGTGACACAATTTTCCGATAGTAAAAGAATCGGAATCCCACACATATTTTGACAGGATTGTATAGTATTTTACGTAAGTTTGCATTTTTATCTTACAGGCTGAGTACTTATGTACCCACGTTAAACTAGTCAAAGGCCACTCCTTCAAAAACAGAAGGATTGGAAACCTTCTAAGAAACCAATGAAATGCAAATTACAATTAATTCCTTTCTTCTAAATTTTCTTCTCCTGTTGACAGGCTTCCAGGTTACCAGTTACTTTAGTTCTGGAGAAGTAGTAAACAACTGCAAGAATGAATTGCAATATGGAGATGTTCCAAATTATACACTCCCTGATAAGTGGGCTGAAAACAATCAAGAGAAATTTCTTCCATAGGAAT